CGGTCTAGCATGGGGTCAACCACGTCCTCCGGTCGGACCGGTTTGCAACCTGGGATTTGGAGCGGCTCACTTTGATCAACATACTGACCATCTATTTGTTCATGAAGCACCGGGCAATACGAAGTTAATGCGGTAAACCATGCAGTGGAGGGAATGTACAAATACTTGGGGATGTTAAATTCAGTTGCAATCGGAAAGGCTTCCGTGCAGAAGAGGTCTGCAATTAGGACGTTCGGCCGGTGCTTCATGCCCGCGATTGCGGACCGAACACCCGGTAGAGACTCACGTACCATGATGCATATTTGTGTGACCACCCTAGTGTTGGCATCAATTAGGTGGGAGATGTCCACCGGGGGAATGTTAATTGTGTCCACTACTTTTGGACCGGCTGGGGGCTTGAGCAGTTGAGACTCTGCTGGTGAAGTGCTGGTTGTGAGGACAAGTACTGTAACTTTAACAGCATGATGGGTTGCTAGCCTGTTTCCTAGAACAAGAACAGGGATGAGATGACCCAAACCGGGGCTTGCGAGAATGGCAACGTGAAGCTTTTGGCTATCCATTGGCTAGTAGTTATTGTGAACGCCAACAGCTACAAAGGAAAAAAGAAAGGTTCGAGCCTTCATATATAGAATCAGGAAGTTCAACAAGGGAATATCAATCGAGGACCAAGGTGCCAAGAGCGCAACCCCCTCTTTTTCCCCAAACGAAAATAATTTCAATAATCTCATTTGCTATCCTAAAAACGCTTCCCTCTCCAAAAAAAAAAAAAACCGTGAAAAATTTTAAAAATCTTACTTGTAAATGTGCACATTATCTACCTTAAAAAACTATTTGAAATTAAGTACTTGGCTCCAAATTTATCGTTTGCCAAGACATTTCCATTTTGCACTCCCTCACAATTAAAGTGAAAGCAACGACGACGTAACACGGTGAATTGATTTTGATAGACTAAGAAGATATTCATCAATTTTAGTAGCATAATTGCAAGATGACAAACAGCAACTTATTTTAACAGTAATTCATAGCCGCCGCTGCAAACTTTAACGATAACGATGATAATAATTAACTAGTGAAGGGTGAATACTGAATAGGCAGGCGACCAACTAAGATATACATGCATTATCTTCTGCGGCATGCTTGACATCCATAATGTTCTCAAAACTCAAGAGACGATTATGCCTCCCGTTCTAAATCTGAATTCAATATATAGTTATCAATTAAGTAGTGTCTTATAAATCCAACAAACAAATAAACGACCAATTATGAAAGAATGCTTCAAACATTGATTACCCTCTTGTATACAAATGTAGGCATATAACCTACATATAATCATATCATATTATCAGAGTTTGATTTCTTATACTGCTAACCTTCCATAGGTTTTTGCCTCTTTCAATAGAGTCACCTCCTTGTATTCATATGTACTTGGTGTCTTGACGGCTACTTTTACTTCTATTGGGATTCAGGCGCGGAATAAACAACTATTGAGACATCAAGTGCACAACAATTTAATGAGGAAACAAGTCACAAGCATGAAAGATAAACGACACACAATATTTAACGTGGTTCGGCTCCACCATTGAGCTTACATCCACGGAAAGAAACCTGTTCTTTATTATGAGAGGAAAATCCTATACAAGAATACAACTTGAACCCAAGCCCAACCCTTGTATACCATCTCTCATCTCCCAAGAACCCTCTCTCACACCCCATGTATAAGGCTACATGATGCCCCTTGTGTCCCTTGTGCGTCCTGTGTGTAGTATGCCAACCCACCTATTTATAGAGAGCATTACTGCCAAAAAAATCAAATAACAATTGGAAACCAATACTATTTCCTAAACTCATATAGAGTAGAAAATAGTATCTAACTAAATAGGACTTTACTTGACTACTACTTCAAGTAACTAAATCCAATTAGGAAACTAGTTACTTCCCACACTAAATAGGAATCCTACCTAAAAAGAAATTAAGCCAATTTCCTAACAAATCTCCACTTTGGCAAAAATTTCTTTTAGCAACCATTTGCCTTTAACTACCAAATAATATGGTACCAAAATACACACCCGAATCAATACAGTCCTGACACCAAATTGATTCAATCGGCAAATGAACATGTGTAGTTACCCCGAGTCCAACCTCTAGTTGACTCGTGAGAAGGTACCTCAATTCACCATCTCCCTTTGCAGGATTTCTTCTCACCACCACTTGCAATTCGAGATTCCCTTCTGTGAGCTCTAACCCTAACCATTGAGGCAATCAAGTGGTAAAGTCACCATACTTCTTCCCATCCTCAGGACTGTCTCGCCACATGTGGTTTCCAAGATTCCACCTAAAACGAAAAACTCGTACCTATCAGAGTCTTCTGGCGCATAGAAATTAGATCTTCTTGTTTCTTTGGGACACGTGCCACACCACCCAAAAAACATAATCAAAATCTAAAATTCACCGGGATGAAGTATCAACCGTTGAAGGTGTGAGAAAGTCTCCACCGATTCACGTCCAAAATCAACATTGAACTCCACCTTTTCCTTGACCCTTGAATCACCTGCCTAGATTCACCATCAAGCATTTCCATGCTTTTCGACTTCCCATCCTTCACCATCAATGCTTTTTACCAAACCATTGAAACAAGGATACCACTCATTAAATTGTTTAATTGGTAACAGCTACCAATCCACTTGATCTCAATAGTTAACTAGGATCCAACTATGAACCTTGAGCAGCCCAGTCTCACAACCAAGCTCTGATACCACTTGTTAGGATCCAGACGCGAAATAAACAACTATTGAGACATCAAGTGCACAACAATTTAATGAGGAAACAAGTCACAAGCATGAAAGATAAACGACACACAATATTTAACGTGGTTCGGCTCCACCATTGAGCCTACATCCACGGAGAGAAACCTGTTCTTTATTATGAGAGGAAAACCCTATACAAGAATACAACTTGAACCCTACAGTGGTATCAGAGCCAGGTGGTTCGGTTGGGCAGTGACTCCAGGATAAAAAACCAGTGGGAATGGTAAAGCGTGGCTGGTTTGGATAAGAGCAGGGAAAGAATCATGCGGACCTGCAGTGAGGCAGGGCATGTGTGGGCTCTTGAGCAAGAATCGCACACTCCAGATTGAAGTGGGCTTGATGGAGTGGATGAGCTAGGGAGAGAGATCCGATGTGGAAGAGATTCACAATTGAGGAGGAGATTGTTGGGATATCAAGTGTGAATCAATGTCCCACATCGGAAAGAGATGAGTAGAATGAGGAACATATAAGTGGGAATGACCCAAAAACTCAATGCCTTAAGGTTTTGGGTTGGATGTGGTGTCAAACTCATAGTTGTGGTTCTCATTCTAGTCCATGGTTAAATTCTCCCCGAGTTTGGCTCTCTCTGAGCCCAACAACTTCCTATATATGTACCACGTTACAGCATCCCTTTTGTTTCTCTGAGATATTATTGGGGTAGAAGAGCAGACGAAAGGTTAATGAGTTCAAAACTTAACGTTGGGTCTCATCTCGAACAAGCCTGCAATAATTATTTTATCGAAACGGTCATATATAGTCACCGTCGTACTCAATGGAAGTATACAGGTATGATGAAATATTCAACTATGTGGACAAATGAACTTTTGAAGATTTGACCCCCATCTTCAAAGCTCAAGTTTTTCCTTGGGAAATAATTCACCGATTTAGAATTTTAGACTCGCTTACGATGTAAAAATCCTTGGAGAATTTCTTGCAAGTTGCATCCTGAATTGTATGTATTATGTTGAAAAAGATTGAAGGTTGGAATGTTCAGAATGGTCAAAATTACTGTCTTCAACTTTTACAATACAACTTTCCCAGTTAGAATTAATTGGATGACTTTAAAACCTAAACACACGGACCTGGACTCTTCTTCAGGGAGCAATGAGGAAAAGGAATAAGAAAATAGAGACAGACTCCACACACACTTGAGAAACCAGGTCCTGAATTTTCTCTTTTTACTCTGGACGTAGATATAGGCCGACAACAATCGAATAGCGTCTCAAAATTCGAAGATACGGAAGTTAGATTGATGTAAAATTCCGATATATGATCATCAAGAGGAAAATTACGATATGTGAAACACCCCTTTAGAATTTACGCATGCGCTTGACAATCTTGGGTCACTTTAAGCTTTGACGAGAACTTTGTGGATGAATAATTTTCCTGGCAACAGAATACTGACCGCCTATCTTGGTTGCCTTCATGTGTGGTGACGATTGAAAACTTTTAAATGGATAAGATATAACAACTTGCTAAGAAAAATGTATTCCTAACCCAAACAACTTGACTTACAAATCAACCATCTCTTAAAAGCAATACATCATGTTGTCAAAGCACTAATACGATTAATTATAAGGAGTAAACAATTGTTTAGTCAATTGGCTATGGATTTGGATCATTGAATTCTTGGTTATATTTTGTCGATTTGATTTGCAAGAAAAATGAATATGTCTAGAGAAAAGAATGTAAGTGTGAGGTATCAGGTTTAACCACCCCTCTCACTTGCATTATTATAAAAAATCAATATCCAATATTTAAAATTCATTCTTATATCTCATTTCAAGTTAGTCCTCAGAGTTTTTTCACAAATTCAATTGGAGAAGACACTTATATATGTGCCCATGACTTTGTTATCAATACATAATTTACCGTGCTTATGATTTGCTTGCAAGCTAGACAACAACTCAGGTATATATATATATATATATATATATATATATATATATAGTTAGTAACTCTATTTACTTAATTGGATGTAAAACAAAAACTAAATACATTATTATTTATTTTCAGCTAAAAGCGAAAACTAGCATGTGTAAAATTATTGCACCAAAATCATCTTAACCCAAAATCAATACTAATTAAATGGCATGTGTCTGTGTGCGTATTAAAACGAATCGTTAGATAAGGTTCTAAAACTTAATACGACTCTTAACTAGATAGTAAAGGCAGCCATAGTAAATTTCGCTTTCCAGAAATTAGGTCTAAGGATTAACTAATGAGTAAGGAGTATCTTTAATACATACATAACAGATAGCGACTACACAAATGCATTGGCTTCTGTCAATACAGTGAAAGTTCCAATTCACACATATGCTAGTATTAGAGAACAATTATTGGCTTCTCACGTGGATGCATTGCATCACCGCCTAGAATGACTAATATCAATGATTCTGATTGCGAGAATTTAATCGTATTTCATCAAGGACATTATACATCGAAATAAACGACGACCCTCGATTGCTTAGACCATCATCTGCGCTTGACTTGAGTTGTTTCATCTTTTGTCTCATCTCCTGGCCTTCTTTCTGTTGCATTACCATTCTCACCATTTTCTCAACCTCTTCCCTCTCCACCATTTTCTTGGTTGGCAACACCTCTGGCCGGACCGCCACGCCGAGATCCTCGGTTAGCATGGCTGCATTCAGTTTCTGCTCGGCATAAAGTGGCCATGCAATCATTGGTACGCCGGCGCTTATGCTCTCCAAAGTGGAGTTCCATCCGCAGTGAGACAAGAATCCCCCGACGGATGGATGGCCCAGTATTTCCACTTGTTGAGCCCACCGTGGGACTACAAACCCCACATTTTTGGTTCGGTTTAGAAACCCATCAGGCAAGTAGTCTAAGGGATCATCTGATTTGCTCAAACCACCATCTAAGGGTAGTCGAACCACCCAAATAAACCTTTGCTGGCTCAGCTCCAACCCAAAAGCTAGTTCCTTGATTTGGTCAGCTGAAAGAACTCCACCACTCCCAAAAGATACATAGATTACCGAATCAACAGGTTGCTCGTCCAACCACTCCAACACTTTGCTCTTCAAACTAGATGGTTCAACCGGTCTCGTCAATGGACCAACTGGGTAAACCGATACCTTAACTGCTGGCTTCAAGGTTTCGTTTTCTCTCAAGGCTTTGAGCGTTGTAGGCTCCAAATCTGCCCAAGTGTTGACCAGAATACCATCAGACCTTGTAAGCCCAATCCCTAGCTCAATGTAGTCATGGTATTGCTGATCGTTCCGGTCCAACATCGGATCAACCACATCCTCCGGTCGAACCGATTTACAACCCGGGATCCTCAGGGGCTCTTTTTGCTCAACATATCGACCCTCTATTTCCTTATCAAGAACTTGGATGTACATGAAGAGAGTGGTAGACCATGCATTTGTGGGAGCGTATACGTAAACGGGCAAGCTGAACTCCCGGGCAATGGGTATGGCCGAGGGGCAAAACAGGTCGAGGATGAGGGCATCTGGGCCGCAGTTCATCGAAGCAATACTTGACCTGATGATTGGTAAAGCTTCACGGACGGACATGCATAGCTGTGTGACAGCAGCAGTTGCTGGAGTAATTTTGGCGGAGATATCTACTGGGGGCAAAGCTATAACACGGACAAGTGTTGACAAGGTCAACGTTTTGAGGAAGCGGCGCTCTTCATCGGAATTGCTTGTTGTGATGACTAGTATGGTGACTCGCACGCCATGGACGGTGGCGAGGCGGTTGCCTAGAACAAGGACCGGGATGACATGGCCCATGCCGGGGCTCGAGACAATAGCCACATGGAGCTTTGCGTTATCCATGGATTCTGCAGTGCATTGCTAAACATCTAATTAATTTAATAAGCTGTGTGTAATTCTGCTTTCATACTTGTTATATATAAAGACTTCATACAGTGCATATTACCAAATCCTTGCCTTTTATTTAGTATATACAGCAAGTTGCCCAAAAAAAAAAAATATATAGTAAGAAGATGACAGCCGACCTCTGTATATTTATCCATATTTGTGAAAGCCATTCCAGTTTATTAATATTGGTTTATACAGGAATAAAAATAATTTCTGGGTTTAACATTTTATAACCTTACACGCGTGATACAACTATTAAAAGCCAAAGTTTCCAAATTATTTCATGCTCCGAGCATTCTAAGCTTTAAATCAAACAATGAATAAGTACGATCTCAGCAAACTCTCACGAGTGTGCATTTGGATATGGGATTGTTTATAGAATAATAATGTAGTACCTTTTGTGATGTAATTTGTACGAGATAAAAAAAAAAAAACCAGTGAAGAATATTTTTTTTAAAGAAAATAAATTATTAAAAACGTAATTATAATATAGACAATAAAAAATACAAATAATTATCAATCCAAACAAACCCATGAAAAATAAAATGGACAGTAAACTTTTTTTAACTGTAGCACTCTGAATCCAAATCCTCCAATCTAAGCCTCCTTCAACTTGGTGCCACTCCAAAGCCTTCGGCCAAGATAGACAACAGGGCACGTTCCAGCTTACTTTTTTTTTCTTTTTTTTTTTTCCCGACACGGGGGTGTCCGGCCCAACTAATCCCTTGCGTTCCAGCTTACTTGTTGAGTCAAATTATGGACATTAAAGTATTAAACTAAATCGAGCTAAATAAATTGTGCAATAATGCAACTTGCAATTGGTATAACAGAACAGAGACAAGAAATTGATGGGGGGGGGGGGGGGGAATCTTGGCATATGCAGCAATAGCTGAAATTTTATATGATTCCAGTTTTGTCCTTCACTCCATGCTTCGTTTATCCATTGTCCTGCTGTCAACTGTGTTTTTATATAATTATTAAGTCAACTGTGTTAAAATCGATACGCGCTATTTAAGATCAGTGGTAAGCGCCAAAATGCTTAAAACGCTGTCGTATTGCTAAAAGATCTTGGGCCGGACACAATTTTATTTGTAATCTGAACTCTTAGAAATGGTGCAGAATCGAATTACAACGTAGCCCAGATCAGTGATCTAGTTGGGCCCAAGCGGCTACCACTCGAACTTGGTCTTTCTAACAGGCAATCCAAAATGCTTGCTCACAATGGAGCCCACTCGACAGGTCACTGGCCCTTCCTCCTGAAAAAGGATAGGCATTGTGAGCCCACTGAGAAACTCATTGGCTCTTCCTGAAAAAAGAAAGCTGACGAGAAAAAAAAAAAGGGAGCCATGGGCAACCTGACGAAGGATGGAGCCCGCTCTAAAATCTAAATTATTGCATTTCCTTTGTTGAATTAACAAGAGGAACTTAGAAAATGCACGTGAGTGATAAATTAAGCGGCGGTAGATCCTCCCAAAATTAACTAACACGTGTCTGAAATTTATCTTTTACAGATGTTCTCAGAATAACCTAAACGGAGCAATAATCATTTTAGATATAATTATCTTTAACAGATGTTGTCAAAATTAACCCAAATGGGGCAATAATCATTTTAGAGTTTGAAATGATTATAATTATTTGTCAGAAATGTGTACTATGAGCTTGGACAGATTTGGCCAATCATCAACTTTTGATTAACGTCCTAGGAAATTAGTGCTGAGAAATGAGAATTGAGTTTAGATGAGGGAGCTGATGTTGATTCTCATAATTGTTAATGAAACTCCCCTAGATTTTTTTTTTCACTGTCTCTTTTTTTTTTTTTTTATAGAAAAGATCGTTTCATTCAATAAATCTGCACTAATAACAAAAAAATACATCAAACAAACATGAGACAAATACATATAGATCTGAAATCCTAGATTTTTTTTTAAAAAAAAATTTAATCACATAGCAAGAACAATAACGCTCCTTAAATTTAATAATATTGCAGGCCTAATTGAGTCAAGAAAGAATTACGACAGCGCCAATGCCAGTTCCATCTAAATGAACCGCTTAAATTTAAGGAAAGTCAATATTTTCATGAGCAATCTTTGTTCAAGAAATTACTTGCAAAGTGCACTAACATAGTAGTGACCTTTTTATGAACCCTGAACACGAGTATCTTTACAGCCATTTTGAAGGCGAACAAGCCAACAAAGAATGAAAAAGAGAAAAGAAAATGCATGTTCAAATCAATGGTAATTTAATCTCCTCCTCCGGATTGTTCTTGGACATTTCTTCAGGTTCCTCTCTCCTTAGTATATTACAGTAGTATAGAATAGTGTAGATCAATCGTATTCAACAAAATAATAATAATAGATTGTTCACAGGTTCCGTGTTTGAGCTCATGCCTGAAGTCAGACAGACGTTGTATGTTTCTGAATCGGGTTGAATGCAATTAAGCTTTCTCCCTCGGACTTGCGCAGGTAGATTGAATACCTTGTGCATTCCGAAATTCCCAACTGTATGAGCTCCTAAGTGCATCTGCAGCTTTTCACTAGATTAAGGAACCCTCCTTGTATCATCGGATATGGATATTGAGGTAAGTTGAATTGGACGCCAAAGAGATACTGCAAATTTGTTTTTCTATTTCACTTTTTGTTTTCTAGCTGAAGTTATTAATACGGTTGATACAGTGTAACATCACGCGTGAGAATGGTCACATGGGGGGTTACAACTTAAAAAAGAAAGAAAGAACGAAAAAAAAAAAAAAAAAAAAAACACGCACACATACAGAGCTGACAGGTGCCCCCGCGTGAATGGTCCAGCGGCAGCACCTCTCACCAGTGAACCTTGAGGTCACAAGTTCGAGTCTCCGCTCCGCTGGTTCCTCCGCGCACTTAACGTGTTCAGGTCGGGTTGGGGCGCCGAGTTCGGACCGCAGAGAATTAGTCGGGCCCCGTAAAAATTGACCCAGACACCCTTGTGTCGACAAAAAAAAAAAAAAAAAAAACACACAGAGCTGACAGGCACATGGTAAGGGCCCCTATTTAGAGGTATTATTATTGTTCTAAGACGCTCTTCTTTCAAGTTTGACCCACGAAGTTGGATAACAATAACAGTTTAGTATTACTCGCATTTGGATAACAACAATCATATCCCTCTTCATCCATTTATCATCATGTAACAAATGGACTTAACTAGGATCTGTCTCTTTCAGCTCCTCCCTCCTTTTTTATCTTTCCTTTCCCTTCTGGTGTGCAAAGTTTCTTCTGTTTCTTCAACCATCAATCTGTTTGCATCCCATTAGTCACAAATATGATCAATTTTCTTACCCGATTAATGCCACAAGTCTCTTGGCACCAAGCTGAAAATGTCTCTGCGGACAAGCTCTTTGTTTGCAATCAATCAAGAGTGAGTCTTGCCTGCGTTTCCAATTCATTGAGCTGGAATATTTCTAAACCTGATAACCCTAAACCTTGCAGCGATTGTTGGAGGATGTTTCCAATCTCAACTTAGTACCATGTCATCACCTCTTGAAGGCGATCGGACAAACAAGATGACAATATCACGCTCTTCCATGATCAACTTCACTCAAGACTAGGTTGGCAAATGTTAACACACAAAAGCAAGAAACAAATGGCTGTTAAACTTGCCAGCAAGAATACTGATCAATCAACCGTCAATCAACTCAATTTCAACGTTTTAGTTATGTCTACAAGAGAAACACATTCTCCCGCCCCAAATTATGTGACAAGTAATTAACTGAATAGATGTCCTCTGATCAGTGACAACCTTAAAGAAAGAATCTAATATAAACAAGAAAGAAAAATATTACTCCACCCCTTTACTTCCTCTACTCTCCAGTCCTCATTATATGCATCAAGAGTAATGTTTTTTGGTGGTCGACAGTATCTGAACATACAGCAATGGAGGCTAACAAGTCTGTGACTTCATAGCGGAAGCAAATCTGGCAGCAAGCACCAAAGAGGAGATCAAGAGACCTCCATCAGCAGAAACGGATTACAATGTAGTGATAAGAAATTATGCAGAGATGAAGACCCTAGTGAGTCCTTTTACGTTCATCTTCTATCATCAACTATCTAGACAGGAGGCTTAACCATGGGCCTTTCCACTCCCCAGGGTGAGCTCTAAGTCATCCACCCCAATTTCATGTGCTCTTTCACCCTCCCATGCCTTCACTGTGCAACTCTCAAATGCAAATTCAGAGCCACATCCCCTTTGTGCCCCTGCACCCCAGGGAAACTGTCCACGACCATCGACTACATCCTGATGATTTTGCAGAGTGGCAGGTTTCACAAGGTTGAATGTGGGTGAAGATGGAGCAGCTGGGGCTGTCTGGAAACTCACCCAGCGAGCAGACTCGACTGGGGATATATCAGACTCATCGCATTCTGGAATTGTGGCAGGTGTGAAATGCTGACGTCGTGTAGGACTCGCTGGTGCTGAAGCAGCAAAAAGAGAGTGCGGCAATGAAGGCGGTAATTTGATATGAGAAAGAGGCTCCCAATCAGGTTTACGCTTTGAACCTCTAGTTGGGGAAGAAAGAGGAGGGGTTACAGGGGCACTGTTGGATATACGTAGAGGCGGTAAGGAGTTGGGAATGGAAGCTAAATTGTGGAGGAAAGGAAGAATGTAAGATGGGGGGTTTGTATCGCCACGAGAGGGGCTGGGAAATGAGGATGACCCAGGACTGGCATGGTAAGAAGGTGCAGGACTAGGAAAGGAAGACGATGCTGGGCTTGGTTGGATAGATGAACACGCACTGATACTAGCTGAAGCACCTGTTAACTCAACCAGGGGTGGTTTCCCTCCCTGTGTAAATCAGATCATTGCGAACATTAGCATTTGAATGAGTTGAAATTTTGAATACCGTCTGACTAGCCTACAAGGCAATGGGAAAAAAAGTGCTTCAAAGCATCTCTTTCAGGAGTGCACTAATCTCTTGATCACACTAATTACCAAAAGAAAAATGTCGAACAATTAAAGGAAAGAAAGAAATCTAAAACAGGACTAATAAAGAGCAAAAACAAAATGCAGATTTGCTTAAGTTCAGGAAAGCAGGAAAAGAAGACCATTTGGACAGAAAA